TCTAAGAGGCATGTATCCAGGGAAATTACAATGATAGACTCTGATATGATAGGAAACACTTCGAGTCAGGGAAGCAGTTGGGTTTGAATTGAGAGATGAGCACATAGAAAACTAAGGAAACAAATAAGATGCTTGTTTACTCCAGGAATAACAAAACACTGAGAATGAAAGGAAAGATAATCAGAGTATTACATATTCTAAATAGCATTCCATGGTCATAATTAACACTATTAATTTATCCAAAAAAACATGAAATTATGACATAACTACATTTGAAAGAGACAGAGTGAGTGTATGTGTGTGTGTGAATGTGTGGTGTGGGGTCTGTGTCGGGGGTGTGAGGGGTGGGAATAAGTAGTAAAAGAAAACAAACTCTCATCTCTCATAGAACAGCCGATTGGTAATAATTTGACCGGAAAGATCAATAAGTGACAGCACAAACATGTTATTAAAAGTAAACACCACAATGGCCAGACTCGGTGGCTCACATCTGTAATCATAGCACTTTCGGAGGCTGAAGTGGGAGGATCACCTGAGGTCAAGAGTTTGAGACGAGCCTGTCCAACATGGTGAAACTCCGTCTCTACTAAAAATACAAAAATTAGTCCAGCGTGGTGGTGGGTGCCTGTAATCCCAGCTACTCGGGAGGCTGAGGCATGAGAATCACTGGAACCCAGGAAACAGAGGCTGCAATGAGCCAAGATTGTGCCACTGCACTCCAGCCTGGGAGACAGACAGAGACTCATTCTCAACAACATCAACAAAAAGAATTAAACGCCAAAAGAAACAGAATTATCTCCACAGGCATTCATGATTGTGATTTTTAAAAGCAATCAAGTAAAGCAAAATAATGAGTATTTGCAAAGAGAATTTCATGAATATTAGAGTGCAGAAGGTTAAAGAGTGAATGAAAACTGAGCATGTAATCAACAAATTGAGATGTGAAAGACAGGGGAATGTTAGGGTAGTTGGTCTAGTTACTTGGTGAAAAGACAGAAGTGAAGGAGAATTGATAGGTTGCTTGATTATGGTTCTTTGGGTAGCTAACTAATTGGTTAGTCAGCTTGTTTAAGACAGGAGTGGGCTCAAAGAAAAGCAGGCAGTTGAGAGAGATTGCAGATGTCAGAGGGAATAAACGAGGTGACAACGTCCCAGATGAAGTGGTGGATGTGAAATGAAAACAAGGTTGAGGCGTTGGCTTTGATAAAGAATAGGACTATCTTCTCCTGTAAACCAGAAGACTAGTGGGATGAATAAGCTCATAGATACAATTTAGGGTGAAAAAGATTATTAAAAGAATTCTTATCTAATAGCTTATATTTTCTCACTGGCAATGGTGGCTATGTCATGTGTTGAGAGAATAAATCTTTTTGGTGGTCTGAGATTGGGAGCCAACCAGAGGAGAAATAAAATGAAAGAAATGCAGAGTAACATCTTGGAGAGTCTAGCTGAGGGTGAAAATCAAAATGTATTTATTAGCACAGGCTGCCATGAGGAAACACCACGACTGAGTGGCTTAAACAACAAATTCATTTTCTCACGGTTCTGGAGGCTGGAAAGTTCAAGATCAAGGTGCTGGCAGGGTTTGGCTCCTGGTAAGGGTCCTGTGACCTGTAGATGTCTGCCTTCTCACTGTGTCCTCACATGCAGAGAGAGAGAGGGAGCTGTCTGGTATCTCTTCTTACAAGGACATGAGTCTTCTGGGATCAAAGCTCCTCCCTGGTGACCTCATTAACCGTTAATCATGTCTTTACTCCAAATCAATCACGTTGGGCATTAGGGCTTCAACATCTGTATTTTGGAGCAACATAGTCAGATTATAGCATGTATAATTAAGCACTGTAATGTGAGTTATTTTCCACCTATACCCAACCGCCTGATGTCAGGAGAAAAGACACATGGTGTGTTGATCCATGCTTAGAGAGTAACAGGATAGACGATGCAAGGTCAAGGTGGCCAACAATTTGAGGGGCTGGTGAAAGTGTGGCTAAAATGATTGGCCATGGATTCCAGGAACAGTGGAAAGAGAAGGCAGAAAAGGGCTGGCTTTAGATTAGGGAAGAGGCAGGGATTGGTAGGCTTGGCGGTAGAGTCCTTACGGTCAGGAGGCTGGAGAACAAATGGGAACGATTTTAAAGCATACCTTCTGTGGGCGCAGTGCTGTCTGACATAATTGGTTGTTCCTGCAGTTTCAGCTTTACTGGAAACAAAGGAGGATTCACTGGAGACATTTAAATTCATTAATGAAAGTAATTATCACATTTTTCTTTCATTTTAGACGACTAAATACGTTGAACAAGTGTGCCTCAATGAAACTTGATGTGAACTTCCAAAGGAAAAAGGTAGGTGCCCACACCTTAATAAGAATGTGGCTATACCAATGGATGCAGCCTGCATTCATTGATTAGAAACAACATGAAGTCTGGACGCAGTGGTTCGCGCCTATAAACCCAGCACTTTGAGAGGCCAAGGCAGGAGAATCACTTGAGCACAGGTGTTTTAGACCAATCTGAGCAACATAATGAGACCCTTGTGCCTACAAAAAAATAATAATAATGAATTAGCTGGGCATGGTGGCTTGTGCCTGTAGTCCCAGCTATTGAGAGGCTGAGTTGGGGCCCTCACTTGAACCCAGAAGGTAGAGGCTGCAGTGAGCCATGATTGTGCCACAGCACTCCAGCCTGGGCAACAGAGTGAGACCATGTCTCCAAAAACAAACAAACAATAAAAAACATGAACCTAAGCAAAATTTTGAAATGCCTGACCATCCATGTGGATTCTCCATATCCCATTTCGTTTTATCATGACCAGCTAAATAAGTCTATTATAAACTCAGGCTGAAATCTGTTTGTTTCACCATTTCATTTTGCTTTCTTTTTTATTAGAGGGTTTGCATAAAGATGTCAAATATCTCAATGCTTTATGGTGATCTTTTAGAAGTGTCCATTGTAAATGTCAACCCCTTATTAGACTCAAATGCTTCACAGCAATGAGTAGATTAAAAGTTCAGAAAGGATCCAGGGGTCCATGGCGAGTATCTTCTGGCTCATTTTTCCCAGCAGTGTTTTATTTCATGCACGTGTCAAGATGCATCCACTATCAGGCAGATTCAGTTGCTAATGTATGAGGGAGCCAGGGGACAGTGTGACAAGATCCTGAACCTGGCTCATCTTTCACCATTCTCTCCACTGCGCTCTTCGCTAGCCACGAGGAATTCGGTTTCGTTTGAAAAGTCACTATGCTCCCTCCCTGTCACGGGACTTAGTATGTGCTGCTTCCTCTTTATGGACCAAGACTAGAGATGTCAGTTTTGAAATAAAGCTGTACTTTATTGAATATGTACTGTTTTCTACGAGCTAGATTATGTACTTACCACACATCATCTCATTTAATCCGTTGAGACGGGGCTTCTCTGTTTTCTATGTAAGGAAAGTAAATCTTGAACAAGCTAGGTCGTTGCCCACAATCTTGCAGCTAGCAGCGGAGCAGGGTTTCTACCTCAGGGATGTCTGACTCCAATATTGAGGCTCCTAGCCACCATGCTATACTGCCCCTCTTTCTCACTGAATGGATTCTTTTTAGGAAATTCACAATTAGGATCCTCAACTACTTTTTTCATTTACCATCTCCACTATGTAGCAAGTCAAGCCTCCATCTATTTTGAAGGATCAGAGAAAACATCTTTGAATCAAAAGAAAGTGTTCTTTATCCTGGTCCACACAGAGAAATAATTAAAGCCAAAGAATTTTAAGTTGCTCCTAAGTAACCTAATCTTTAAAAATAACTTTAACCTGAATTTTTGCTCTAAAATAACACCAAAAAAAAAAAAATCAAATGAATTTTGGTGGACCTCACCTTAAAAACAATTTGAGATTTGAGCTGGAAACCAAAGATTTAAGCTAAGGAGGTAAAACAGTGAAAAACAATATCCAGAGAAATATTAAAACATGAGCAGTTTGTCCAGGCCAAAGACAAATTAAAAATGTGGGAATAAATCTCCCAACAGCTGTCTGGCTGAATAGACCCCTTGAGAAGCAGACATACGATTTGAAGCATGAGGGTCAGATGTTGTTTTGATTGGAACACATGGTTCCTATTAAAGTGAACACAGCCATGCCTGTGTGTCTAAAGTGTGGGTCCTCAAATGGCTGGTCTATACGGCTGCCTATACCGACCATTAGCTGTACTGCATCACAAAAGAAAATGCCAAAAACTAATGACATGAGTTGTTTTCCACACAGTGGAGTGATTGGATTTTTACCATCACCAGCTTTTGAAAACCCACAGGCAAGATGGGCTTGAATAACATTTGTTCAGCTCTTTGTGCCTTACCTTCACAAAGCTCCTCTGTAAATCGGTCGCTTCGGTATTCTGACCTTAATGCCGTCTTTATATCGGATCTAGTGGTACGCACCCTTAAAGCCCCTACTTAGCTATAAGCCTCAGAATGCATGCGCTTGAATAAAATATTGCTTTTCACATCGTGAATTGGAGAGTCATGGCCTGAATTTTCCAATGAATAATGCTGACATGTGGTCTCCACCTACTTATGAATCTCAATAATGACCAGAATCTGTGGCCAGATTGAAGCAACCACTCAGGAGCCGCTGTGTTGTGACACCCACTTCTGTGATCTTCCTTCTACACAAGCTGTAGGCTTTATTTACTCCTTCATTTTACTGTGAAAAAGTAAGGAAAAAAATGAATAGGAGCTAAGACTAGGCCAAATGATCAGAAATAAGAAAGGAGACTTGAGAGTTGAGCACCTCATGAAAAGCTTCAGCCAACTTCAGAATTTATTTATTTGGAAGGAGAATAAGCAACATTTCCTCTGGATATGTCCCCATGTTAAGCCATCCAAGAAATAGAAATAGACACCCCATCTCCAATCTGCAGAGTCCCAGACTTATTTAATTCTGCAAAAAGTCATCCCCAAACAGCTGAACTGTCTGGGGTCACTATCATTTTCCACGGGGCTGTCGGGCCTGTGAAAGGGTTTATGGGGGCTGGCTCATCAGTTTGTGAGGTTAGCAAAAGCTGACACACGGCTTCCTCCCTGCCAGGCACTATTCCTTGTCCTGAACTCCATGTCACAGATGCAGAAATGGAGGGGCTTGGCACTTGCGCAAAGCCACACAGAAATAGCAAAGGCAGGACTTGAATCCAGGCAATCTGGCAGCGGACTTCCCCTCCTCACCTTTCAGATATATTCCGAGACAAACCGGAGCCTGGGTGAGCCTCTAGCCCTTGGCCTGAAATCTACAAGAGTCTCATGTTTCCTCAGCAGTACATTCAGCTCACTGTGTGTTGTTTTTATAAGAGGTATGTTCTTGCCATCTGTACCCAAGTCCACAATTTATTTATTTTCTTCATGGCAATTGTATTTAATCCTGTAGGTTTTGGTGGGCTGACACAAGGAAGGAAGCAAAAAATCCAGAAGTAGGTGGCGAAGATGAAGGCCTTTGCATGCCTGGTTAGGCAGACCCCTTTCTGATACATGAAATGCCACTTCCAAAGCACTAGGAGAAATGACATCATCCCTACCCTCCCACAACAGAGTTTCTAACCATTTTGCACAAGAGAAAAGTTCCTTTAAGGCTTCGAGATGACCTTCCCTGCCTCTACATAGAGTCAGGTGGTGAAGAGTATTGTTGAATTTAGCTGCATACCTCACTGGAAGACTAACAACCCACGCAAGAGCATTTCAGGAGACAGGACACCAGTGCTTCTGCCACCTGTGGCTCTGGCTCTCCCTGTGGCATTCCTAGTGGCCCAAACAGGCTACCAAACAGGCAGGCCTGGCCACGTAGCTCCAGTTGACATCTAAATTTCTATGTGACTATGGATGAGTTGCCTTTTGCAGCTGTGGATTCGTGTGGGTTCCTGTTTCCAGTGTAAAGATATGGCCAAATTCCATTTTTTTTAAAAAGTCCTTCTTTATGGAATGTCTGGTTGGCATCTGTTTCTGAGGAATATATAATTTCACTGAAGAATGTTCTCGTTTTTAGAAAAAAAAAAAAAAAAAAAAAAAAAAGGCCAAACAGTGGAGACTCATCTAAATTAAAAACACCAAGACACACACAAAGCAGCTTTTCTCAGGAAAATGTTTCTTCCTTGTTATTACCCACAAAATTCACACTTGCTCTATGATGACATTGAAGTCTCCTGATTAAGGTGTTCATATGCTTCAGCTTCAATTCAAAGTAAAAGCTGGAGACTGAAGACTCCAATTAGGCTGTTTATTGAATGAGGAAAGAGAAGGACGTATATCCACATAGGACTCTTACCTTTCCTCTTACCTAAGAATATGTCTCAAGAGAGAAAGAGTAGCTTCCAAAGAAGCTTCTGGTTGAAGTTATAGTTTTAATAAGGCTCTCTGAAATCATGACCAAAGGTGGAAAGCAACACAGAAACCATGACTAATTGCCACCTTGCAGCCAGCACCTCCTGGCCTGAATGCCATCAGCATTTCAGAGGCACTGCAGTGTTGACAAGGGGCCCGGCTGCCACCCCCACACTCCCCACTGCCTTGCAACTCCCCGCATCTCCCACCAAATGAGACACCTCCTGGCAACTGCAAAGAGCAGTCAAATGAGAGAAAAACAACCTTTTAGTCCATCATTCCCTTGGCTAGAGAGTATTAACAGCCTTGAATTGCAGATAATTACATGTGAATGTCCTAAAACTGTAGGGCCTTTGTGTAGAAAGGATCTTCTGTCTTGTTTTCCAACCTCCCACTCACTCACTGCAGGATTTGACTCTTAGAGCATCCCTCTCCCTCACAATTTGCCGAGCCACTGTTTATTATAAGCTTCTCAACATGATGAGCTTTTCACATGGCAAGGCATTTTGTTTTATTCTACAGACTAGAAAGGCCTTCCATATGATAAGCTAGTAGCTGATTCCTTCTAAATTGGCCCATCTGAGCCTAGCTTTTTTCTCTGGAGAAGCAAAGAATATGGATTTCCCCATTCACTCAGCAGCTCTTTAGCTCTGCCCTTCAGAACTGGAATCAGCAAACTGCTGCTCCTGCTTTCATAAATAAAGTTTTATTGGATCAATAGCTGTGCCCATTCATTTCACAACAATGGCAGAGCTCATTAGGTGAGGGAGAGACCTTATGGCCAATACACCTAAAATATTTATGATATGGCCCTATACAGAAAACATTTTCTGACCCACGCTCAATCTAGAAGAGTTTCCCAACTATCTGTGGTGAATGACTGGTTTTCTTACCTTATTTTTTTCCAGTCTGCCACAGACCAAGATACTTTTGTGAAATTCAATACAAATGAATTATTAGAAATATGAACTTTAAAAAATTACAGAAACAAGCCTTAAT